GGGCTTTCTAGGGGCCTCTTGGAGACCTCACACGGCTTCGTGGGAGCCTCTTGGTGGCCTCCAGGGGCCTACTGGGGGCCTTCAGTGCCAGAGACTTTGAAATATCGGTTCGCGGTCCCCCCCTGGGCCCCCTGTTTTGGGGCCCTCTTCGGTGCCTCGTGGGCCGTCTTGGAGCGATCTGGAGGGCCTCCGAGGCCGTGAGGGAGCGCTGGGAAGCGGGAAAAGCGAGAACGCTAAAATCATTCAAAAACCAAAGAACCTAATACATTGTGCCTCCCAAGGCCAAGGCCTTCATGGGGAGCATCTTGAGTCCGCCCTGGAGCGCGATGGAGTCCTCGTTGGCCGTCTTGAAAGCATCTTGGGCGTCTTCGGGGCATCTTGGGACCGTCTTGGGCCCTCTTGGGACCCACTTGGCCTGTCGTGGCCTGCTTCGGGAGCTCTGGGACCCCCCCAGAACCCCCGGGGGGCGCCCATGGGGGGTACAGGCAGCGGCCCGCCCCGAACCCCGCCTACTCCGATAGCGATATATATATATATATATACGTATATATATATATGTGTATATACGTATATGTGTATACATACATACATACAGGCATACAGGCATACATGCATACATGCATACATGCGTACATGCATACATGCATACATGCATACATGCGTACACACATATACACATGCGTACACACATACACACATGCACACATACATACATACATACATACATACATGCATGCATGTATGCATGCATACATACAAACATACATACATACATACATACATACATACATACATACATACATACATACATACATACACACATACATACCTACATGCATACACACTTACATACATACATACATACATACATACATACATACATACATACATACATACATACATCCATCCATACATACATACATACATACATACATACATACATACATACATACACACATACATACATACATGCATACATACATACAGGCATGCATGCATGCTTACATGCTTACATGTATACATGCATACATGCACACGTTCATACATGCATACATGCATACATGCATGCATGCATGCGTGCATGCATGCATGCATGTATGTATGTATGTACGTACGTACGTATGTATGCATGCATGCATGCATGCATGCATGCATGCATGCATGCATGCATGTATGTATGTACGTACGTACGTAGGTAGGTAGGTAGGTAGGTATGCATGTACGTATGTACATATATACACATACAAATGCATACATATGTACATATGTGTACACCTAGATGCCTCTCAAGGGCGTCTTCGAGGCAATTGGGGCGCATCTTGGGATCCTCCCTGGGACCTCCTGGATGCCTCTTGGGCGCCTCCTGGGGGTCTCTTGGGGGCCGCTTGGGGCCTCCTGGGGGCCTCTTGGGGCCTCCTGGGGACCTCTTGGGGTCTCCTGGGAGCCTCTGGGGCCGAAAGCTCTGAATTTGAATATGGTGTTCCACCTCTGGGATCCCCCTGGGGCTCGTCCTGAGGCTCTCTTGGGAGGTATTGAGGGCCTCTCGGGCCCTCTTGGGACCCTCTTGGGTCGTCTTGGAGCCTTCTTGGGAGCCTGTGGGGCAATATTGGGGCCTCTTGGGCCGTCTTGGACGCTGTGAAAGCTAAATGGTATATGTACGACAAATAAAAGTTTTCCCTAAGGGAATGGAACGAGTTGTGCCTCTTGGGGCCTTCCTGGGGTGCCTCTGAGAGCTTCTTGGGGCGTCTGGGAGGCCTCTTGGGATATCGTGTGGGCCATCTTGTGCGTCTCGGAGCGGCCTGTGCGTCTTGGAGCGGCCTATGGGCGTCGCGGGTCCCTCTTGGAGCGTCTTCGGCTCTCTTGGCGCCTTCTGGTGGCGGTTTGTGAGCCTCTGGGACCCCTCCAAGGGCCTGCACACACACAAACACACACACACACAACACACACAACACACAACACACGCAACAAACACACAACACACACAACACACAACACACACAACACACAACACACACAACACACACAACACACACAACACACACAACACACACACACACAACATACAACACACGTAACACACAACACACACAACACACACAACACACACACAACAACACATCACACACAACACATAGAACACACAACACACACAACACACAACACACACACACATCACACACATCACACAACACACAACACACACAACACACAACACACGCACACACACACACACCCGCACACGCACACACGCACACACGCACACACGCACACACGCACACACGCACACACGACGCACACACGCACACACGCACACACGCACACACGCACACACGCACACACGCACACACTGCACACACTGCACACACTGCACACACGCACACACGCACACACGCACACACACACACACAAACACGCACACACACAAACACACACACACACACACACACGCACACACGCACTCGCGCACACACGCACACACGCACACACGCTTTCACCCACACATTTGTGGTAGAGGTCGCGTCCCCTGGGGCCGGGCCCCGATGCGCCGTTCTATGTATACATATATGTCGAAGCAGGATGCGGCTGTTGGCGGCCAGGAAGTCTGAGCTGGTCGGGCCCAACAGGAAAATCTGTCAAGAAGGGGGGGATGAAGCCAAAAGCTCTTCCAAATCAATCCTTGGACCTCTCTTGGGGTTCATCTGGTGCAACTGGTCACCCTGGATCCCCTCTCGACGGTCCCGCGGGGCCCGAAGAACCGCGCCCCCGGAGACAGAGAAAGGCGCGGCACGCCGTCGAACCCTCGAGCCTGCCCCCCCCCTTCCTGCTGGCCGGAACCAGGCGGAAGACGGGCTTGCATCAACGCTTCCCCACCTCCGCAACCATGTGCCTCACAGGCCCCACAGAGGGCCGCGCTAGCTGCACACTGCGCGCTGCACACCAGCGCGTGGCCTAATTAGGAGAGAACTAGTTGTGCTCGGCCACCTCCGGCCCCCGTCGTGTGAGATCACATGCGGATGCAGTCGGGCGTGACTGGACAGGACACCCGAGAGAACACGAGACTCTTCCCGACGGCAACGTGGCCCCAGAACACCAGAGGGCATGCGGGTTGCACAGAACGGGATGGACAGGACCAGAGGAAGAAAAAACCGCATGCCCATAAACTTTCGACGCTCCTCGCGAGTCCTTGGATCTGCGCTGGAGACCCCTTTCCCTGGCGCGCGGAGCGCGCCAGGGGCGGCGCCGCACGCGCCGCCAAGGGGAGCCAGCGAAGATCCAAAAAATCCGCGCGGACCGTCGAACGTCTATGCTTGTGTCGCTTCTCACCCTCGAAGGACACGAGGCTATCCTCGATTTGGCGTGGTCGACGCACAAAACCAGGGTTAAGCCCATCCTGTCCTCCTACAGGGGGATTTTGGACAAAAAATTGAGAGTAGTTCAAAATTGCCCCCAAATGGCCCCAAAAATGCTCAAAACAAATCGTCCCCTGACTATTTTCTACTATTCTTGAACATTCCTTCTGCAGAGGGACAGAACCCAACTGAAAACCAGGACCGACTGCACTGCAGTGGTTGCCGGTGGTGCCGCGCCGCCGCGGCGAGGCTCAGGAGGCCCTCGCCGCAGGAGCTGCCGAGGCAGGAGGGCCCAGGCTCGAATAGACAAGTCGGGGCGGCGACAGAAGAGGATCGGTTCGGCGGAAGCTGGCAGCCAAGCCTGGAGACATCGCGCAGATCGGAGTGAGGGGCTGGCAGGTAAGGCGGAGCCAAGGATGAGGTGAGACCAAATCGAGAGTCTCTGAGATCCGACGGTTCTGAAGAATATCTCGGGCGCCGCCCGCGGCCTTCTCCGGAACGCTCTGAGAGCGTTTCGGAACGCTCTGGAACGGCTTTATACTCATCCCAGCCCCGTCCGAGTAAGGCCTCCATGGAGGAGAAACAGAAAGCCAGATCGGAATCCGAAATCGAACCGAGTTGGAATCGACATCGGACTCGAATCGAGCCGGAAGGATCGCAGTGAGCCATGCGGAGCCATCTAAGAGGGGAGATGTCGACCCCTATCCCAGGCGTTGGGAGGTTTTCGACTGGACAAAACATTTGGGGCCCAATCCCTTGGACATACATGGGAAGGGGCGTCCATCCTCGGTGACGGTGCGTCCGAATGGCCCTCTGGGGTGGTCCTAAGTTTTCCAAATTTTCTGAACGTCTTCCATTTGTCATAGAAAAGTCAGACGTTCGGGGAGAATAATCTTAAGTCGGGCCTGTCCCTCTACAGGAGGAATATACAAACATAGTCCCAAAAAAGTCAGGGGATGATTGTTTGAGCATGTTCGACAATGTTGAATACTTTTTGGGGACAGGCCCGACCTAAAGAATAATCGCCTGCGAAGCCATCGCCCTTCTGCCGAGGCCGCGTCGCCTCGCGCCGCGCGAGCGTCGCCGCTCCGAGGAGGAGGAGGAGGAGGAGGAGGAGGAGGAGGAGGAGGGGGAGGAGGGGGAGGAGCAGGAGGGGGAGGAGGAGGAGGAGGAGGAGGAGGAGGATGAGAAAGAGGAGGCCCTAAAACGACGCAACGCCTCTCGTCATGAGCATGTCTGGGGCGAGGGAACAGCCCCGCTCCAGGTTCTCCATCCCCCCTCCTCTCCAGACGACTCTCCACCTTTTAGAGCCAGGGATCGACCCAAAGCAATGTTTCTCGTTGTCGTGTTGTTCTCTTTTCCCTTTCGTTTTGGCACCGACCCGCCTGTGCTGCAAAATGGAATCGACAGAACAGCGGGGCACAAGTATCGCCAGAACACTGATTAGGTTGACCCCTGTTCCAGACCTTTCCGCCAGCAGGTGGCTGGTGTAACCATCTTCCCGAAACACCAGAACTGCATGCATAGAGCTGTCGGAACTCCGCGCGGATACAATTTTTCTCCCGATGCATGTGTCCTCGTCCTCCCACTTCTGCCGCGCCCGCCTCTGACCTCCACATCCCAGCCCCCTGGATGTCGCCCCCCGGGCGGCCTTGTACGAGCACGCTCTGCTCTGGCCGGACCCTCGCCGACGGGGGACAGTCAGAGCGTTTCGTTCTCCTCCGGGGGCGACAGCTGTGGCGGGAACAGGGGGACAGGGAGGCAGAGGAACTGGGGAAGAGTCAAGGTACGCATGGATAGCCAGTGCGTGCTCCAACATGTCCCACATGCTGGCGGATTGCCGGGCCCAGCCGAACCAGCTGGCAGAGCCACCGAAAGACACGCCATAAACCCGATTGCGCCTTGCGCTGAGCCTACCTTGGAGGAGTACTGCACTCCTTAAACATGAGCTCTCTACTGTCCACGCGGAATTATCCGATCTGCGCTGGTCTTTCTCCTTGGCGCGCGGAGCGCGCCAGGGGCGGCGACGGAGGCGCCGGCAGGGGAGGCCCGGCGCCGATCCAAGGCATGCGGCGCCTGCGCCGTGCCCCAGTCCTGCTCTGAAGCAATCGGAGGAGGAAGGCGCGAGCGGAGGAGGTTGGAAGGAGAGAGGAACGGCTGGAGGGATCGTAAAATATGGGGCGCAATGTTCGCGGTGGTTTTTACGTGGTGCAAAACACCGCGCTACCATGGTAACGTCCACGCGTGGCCACATCGAACGTTCGTGCAAACACTCCGCCCACTCATCCGCAACCGGCTGGCAAATCCCAAACGGGCTGCGACAGCGACGATGTCGATGATGATGACGGCGGCGGGCACGATTCCGGCGACGACCATGGAGATGATATTTATGATGATGGTGCAAACTGACGAATGCAATCGCAATGGTGGTGGCGTCCATTACGGTGTCAAGGATGATGACGATGGTGCTGGTGAGGCCGTTGAAGACGCGCATCGCGTCATACGCCGAAGCGCGTGGGGACATATCTACCATGCACAACCCTGGGCAGCGCCTCTCGCCCCAGCATTGCAATCCTGAGTGATTGCCAGTACATCAACAACGTGCTTCTGCACTTGCAAAACCCATTCCTTTCTAACGCACCCGACCCGCTTCAAGGCAAATTGTTCAACACTCCCGCACATAGTTTTCAAGGCCCCCTTCTGCCCTGCCGTAAGCAAACACTTGCTGCCGCAACAGCTTCTGTGAAATTGCTGGCCTGCTCTGGGCAGAACCACCTCGTTGGACACACGCGACATGAAGGAAGGCTGAACGCCCCAGGGCACCCACTGACATCTACGGTAGAAACCATGCAGCTTACGGGTCTCAGCGACGTGACACCAGAAATAAATAAGCCAGTTGACGAGACGGCTGACAATGACTGCCTCGAACACATCAAACATCATCGCGGTCGTCAACAGCGCGTGCTTCTAAAATGGGTTCATTGAAACTGCAGAAGTCGCCCCAGGCACTGGCGATTCTGCGGTCGAGGTCTCCTTTGGGGCTGCCATCAGGCCCGATGCCGACGCCAAGAGAATGCATCACCTCCGCGCTGGGGACTGGTTCCCCCGAAAGCATGCTCAAGCTGCAGCCCTGGCCAACGTCACTCAGCTGAAATTTAGACCGACGACACGGCATGCCGCAGTGGGACCCCGGGTTGGCCGTGGCGCCCAACATTGGGAAGCTAAATATCGACACCCGCCCTGCCTTACAGCGCCCATGTATGCATATGCTCGGCAGGGCCCGCGCATGGCCCCGAATGCTCTCCCGACGTCGCATTTCCATCGTCGCACGACTGGCAGGATGCACGTGGCCGACCAAGCCACGCGCGCGGGGCCGCACAAACCTGAAGCTTCCGTCCTGGAACACGCGCAAGCAATCCGCGGTTTGCTGATATGAGCCAGCCACGCGGCTCTCGCCGCAGGCACTGACATAGCGACCCAGCGCCAAAATATTTTCGTCTCTATAAATGTGCCAGTATTCGGTGCACCGGGTTTGGTGGGTGTACACGTCGCTCTTTTGAAACATGTGTTATCTGTTTGCTCTGGCACAAAAATTTATGGGTGGGTGTATACTTCGTTTGGGCGGGTGTACATCATGTTTTGTTGGTGCCTTTTTTGTATACACCCGCTGTCCCGCGGAAGAACAGAACGCCCCTGGAAATACCACGGATTCGCGAGGGCCGATCCCACCCGTGCAGACGAGTACGAGCATCATCGATGCTGGCGGCGACCTGTATGGCCGCGTGCAGTCGGCGGGCTCGCTGGCCCCCCGCGAAAGCGGCCTCCGCGAAACGTCGGGAACTCGTCCAAGACGTCCCCTGCGACCCGATGCTGGCGGCGACCTGTATGGCCGCGTGCAGTCGGCGGGCTCGCTGGCCCCCCGCGAAAGCGGCCTCCGCGAAGCGTCGGCAACTCGTCCAAGACGTCCCCATGCGACCCCCCGAAGTCGGCAAAATTGGGCCCCGAGGTAAATTTCGCGTCACGAGTAATGAAAATATATTGGCATCTGTATTGCGGAGTGGGTGTCGTAATCTTGGCGAGAGCGTGATCCACCGCCGCTTTACTGTGGAAAATTGCCGCCCTGTTCCTCCAGAGCCCGGGGGTTCCCCCCCCTCCCTTCCGAAATCCCCCCTCCCCCTCTGCGGACCCCCCCCCCCCCCCTTCCCCCGGCAAAACCCCCCCCCTCCCCTAACCGCTCGCCCCCCCCCTTCTGAAAACCGGGGGTTCACTACCGGTTCGAACCCCCCCCCCCCCCCTCGAAAACCAGAGGTTCTACCGCTGCTGGCGCGAAAACCAGGGGGGGTCACTACCGGTTCGACCCCCCCCCCCCCTCCGGAAACCGGGGGGGGTCACTACCAGTTCGACCCCCCCCCCCTCGAAAACCGGAGGGGGGGTCACTACCGGTTCGACCCCCCCCCCCCCCCCCCACCCCACTCACCGCCAGCAAACGACTCCCGGCCCTACCACCGTCCTCACCACATCCCCCACTGTTGTTCCCAACGCCACTGTCCTCACCACCGCTGTCCCCGCTGGTTCCACCACCGCCCCTACTGTCCCCACCAATGCCACCACCACTGTCGCACTGTCCTCACTGTCCCCACCACTGCTCCCACCACGGCTCCACTCTTCCAACTTTCTCCACGGCCCCAACCACTGCCCGACTATCCCCACTGTCCCCACTGTCCCACTGACTCCTCCGCTGTCCCACTGAGCTGTCCCACTGTTCCCACCATTGTCCCCACTGTCCCCACCACTGTCCCCAGTGTACCTCTGTGTCATTGTCCCACCGCCGTCCTCGCCACCGCCTTCACCACTGTCCCCACCACCACTGTACCCTCCATTTCCACCACATTCCCACTGTCCCCACACCACTGTCCCCACCACCACCGTCCCCACCACTGTCCCACTGTCCCCACTGTTCCCACCATTGTCCTCACCATTGTCCCCACCACTACCGTCCCAACCACTGTCCCACTGTCCCCACCACTGTCCCGGTCCCCACCACCACCGTCCCCACCACTGTCCGCACCCCTCCTCGGTTTTCGAGGGGGGGGGGGGTCGATGCGGTAGTGACCCCCTCCGGTTTTCGAGTTCGAGGGGGGGGGGGGGCGGGGGAGGGTTCGAACCGGTAGTGACCCCCCCCTTTTTCATGATGAACTGGGGGGGGGGGAGGGGTTCGAACCGGTAGTGACCTCCCCGGTTTTCCGGAGGGGGGGGGGGGGAGGGGTCGAACCGGTAGTGACCCCGCCTGGTTTTCCGCCAGCAGCGGTAGAACACGCTCTTTTTTAAGTTTGCTCCCGGCAACAGCTCCTGCAAATGGCTTTCGCTGGCTCCGATGGGAAGCAGGCGGTCGACCAAGTTTTTTCGAGCCCCCGCTGTCAGCGATCTCTGGGGGGCCACATGCGAACCCTACCCCACCCTCCCCCTCAGAAATCTTGGGGGGTAGGGGTAGGGTTCGCATGTTGCCTTCTAGATCTCGTCGAATCTTCGATATCAGCCGTCATCAGCGTGACAAAAAGAAGGGTGCAAGCGTGCACACCCCTACGACTCGCCCGACTGCTGAGCTCGCGTGGCCCGGCCCCCCGCGGGGCAGACAAACAGAGAAGCGGCGGTCTAGGTAGACGCGCCGGATCATCCCCGAGACCTGCGGTGGCAGGCCGAAGCGGCACAGTGCGGCAATGAGCGCGTCGACGTTAATGGAATCGAGAGTTTTTTGTTCCGAATCCAGCGCGACCATGTCCACCTTGCCACCTTGATAGGCCAGCGCTGCGTCAGCGCGTCTTCTGACGGTCAGGACCGCGTCTTAAGTAGTTCCCCCCCTGTCCTGAAGCCGACCCTTGTCGTTGTCAGCGTGCCCTCGGCGGCGCCGCGCTTCGATCGCCTCAGCAAACATTGAACCGTGCAGTATCTGCGCCATGCCGCCTACCCGTCTCCTCGCCTTCTTGCTCACAAGGGCAGCCGACGGAACGTCGAGGAATCCAGCCGTGGCCACGGGGGCCCTCCAGGACGCGCAGACGATCATCGGAACCTCGGCCTCCTCCGGCCCTCCGGGTGCGCCACCGACCCGAAGGGAGGCGACGCAGAGGCAGCCCGCCCCACGCGGGTCCCAACAAACATGCACCACCACCACCACCACCACCACCACCACCACCACCACCACCACCACCTCCTCCATTTCTCCTCCATTTCCCCCTCCCTCCCGGGAGGGGCAGGCAGGAGATGAGGAAGGTGGTGGCGGCGGCGGTGGTGCCTAATGTTGGGCCCCGTGCCCCGCGCCGCGTCCTCCTCCTCAGCGGCACCGCGGCGCCCGCGATCAGGCTCTGCACGCTGGCGGACAGGTCGTCGAAACTCGCCGACGCCTCGTCGGACGACCCGCTCAGGCCGCTGTAGTCCGCACCCCTCCGCTCGGCCGGGAGGGCACGGCGTGTGCTGGGCTCTGAAGTCGCCCGTCCTGCGCGGGCCGCGCGGGCGCTGCCGTGTCGCGCGCGGCGCCCCACAGACAGAGCTGAGAGCTAAGGATGCGCGATAAGGATGCAAGCCCCTTGGACGCCCATGTCGAAGCTTTTCGAGCGGGGCTTGCCATCGAAACGAGTCGTGAGGATAGGCCTGAGAGGCACCGATGCAAGGGTACTCTTGGGAAGGATACCCATCCTTACCGACTGTAATTACTGCCCCACAGCTCCCTCAAGACGACAGGCAGGGCTCGGACAAATTCGGTTGAGGACAAATCCCAGACCCCCTCGCATCGTGCAGAAATCGGCACGGAGGGCCTATCTCGGCCGCACGCAAGAGTGACCCTATAGGCAAGAATGACCTCTGGTGCGCGGCTGTATGGGGGGCTCGAGGGGCCCAAGCCAAGAGCACCAGCCGCTGCTATCGCATCTCGTTCAGTGATCGGGGGGAGGAGGAGGAGGAGGAGGAGGAGGAGGAGGAGGAGGAGGAGGAGGAGGAGGAGGAGGAGGAGGAGGAGGAGGAGGAGGAGGAGGAGGAGGAGATGGAGGATGAGGAGGAGGAGGAGGAAAACGACGAGGAGGAGGAGGACACCAAAGGTCCCCACGGCGAAGGGGCACACTGACGCGTAGTCGATTATCATGTCTTTCGGCATCTACGGGTCCTCGGCAGGCCGCGGGACAGTCACACAACGATTCAGAATGAAACACCGTTCCCTGGGATGGGAGTCACAAGGCCATACCAGTACTGTATGGACTCCTCGGAGGCGCGCGTCCGCCCAAAACAAATAGTAGACCCACCTTGTAGTATATCGTTTCCCGAGCAGTGTGACCAGAAACCGCCCGCCACGACGCATATATTATAAGATTTCTCAGTGCGCGCGTCGCCCCTGAGGGGGCGACGCACATAATAGAAGTATGTTGGGGTGTCATCGATGGGGAAGGGGTCGACTCATCTCCGGGGGTCCGCGCCACGAAAAAAGCACGACGCTGGAGCCTGGAATAACGGGACAATCTAGGGGCCCGAAGCGGTCCGTGCTTCATTTTTGCTCGGTGCATCTTTCGGGAGAAGGACGAGGAAAGCTGAGAGGACGAGTAAGACAATGGGCAGCCGCAACACCTCTCGAGTAATCAGTGCACTCTGTGGCGATGCGCGGCAGAGACTGACAAGTGGTTTGGTGCGGTGACAGACACGGCGGTGATCTCGAAATCCCTGGCGACCTCACCGCACGCTCCGTCACCGCATCGTTTTGGGTCGGCGGCGAGCGAGGGGGGAAGTGAGAAGGAGAAAGCCCTCTCGGAAGGCGGAGGGGCTTCTCAGAAGCCCTCCAGTCTCCTAAGAAGCTTGCATTTGTGTCTTCGAAACAGGCTCAGAAAAACTTCTCAGAAGGCCGGAGGACTTCCGAAGCTTCTAAGAAAGCCTTCCCCTTCTCAGGTCCTTCTCATTCTCCCCCCAGGCTCGCCGTCGAGACAGACCGTGCGGTGACCTCGAAATTCCCAGCGACCTCACCACGCGATCCATGGATTTGGCGCGCGGTCGCCAAATCCATGGATCGGGTGAGGTGCCCTCCCAAAAATGCGGCCGGTGCCGCCTCGCTCGGCGGTGGAAACCCGCTCCTCGTACTCCTCTTCCTGTTCCTCTTCCTCCTCCTCCTCCTCCTCCTCCTCCTCCTCCTCCCTCCCTCCCTCCCTCCTCCCTCCCTCCCTCCCTCCCTCCCATCCCTTCATTCCTCCTCCTTCCTTCTTTTTCCTCCTCCTCTTCCCCACCCCTCCTCCTCCTCCTCCTCCTCCTCCTCCTCCTCCTCCTCCTCCTTCTCCTCCTCCTCCTCCCCCTCCTTACACAACCCTCCTCCGCCAGGTGCGCGATGAGATGAAAGGAGTCTTGCGCGAGATGGCACAGCGACCTTACTTACGCGGCGGCCTGCGCGGGACGCCAAAGGGGGCACGCCGCATCGGACACGAGGGCGCTCACGCGAGACCGTTACGCGGGCAGATTACGCGCCAATGTCAGCGCAGACGACCCCCCTTTGTTTGGCGTCAGGGCTGGACCTAGACGTTGTTATTCGTTTTGTTTTTCGTGTTCTACCTGTTTTCCTGCACCCCCCCTGCCAAAATGAAAAACAAGACACAGCCGAAATTCAGCATACCAGCGTTCAGGTCCAGCACTGTTTGGCGTCGCTCAGGCGGAGATGGGTGACGCCTCCTTCGCACTTCGCGGCGCCGATCCTCATGCAGAGGGGCTGCGCTGGGAGAGCGACCCGTCTAGAAGAAGAGAAAACGCCATAGACATACACTTTTGGCGCTCCGCGCGGAATTCTTGGGTCCGCACTGGGCCTCCCTCCCTGGCGCGCTCCGCGCGCCAGGGGCGGCGCCGGAGGCGCCGCGGGGGGGGGGCTCTGCGCGGATTCACGAAATCCGCGCCGAGCGCCAAACGTTGCTGTTTATGGTATTTTCCCTTCTTCGACCGTGGGTCGGAAGAAGTGGGCCGAAACGTGAAGCAGGCAGGTGCGGAAGTAGCCTGGGCTTCCGCCCACCCCCCGAAGAGGAGGGCGGAGGGAGAGCCGCGCCACTCCCGAAGTAGGAGGGCGACTAAATAGCAGATCGGGATCTGGGGATCCAGCAAACCTATTTTCAACCCAGGCCCCCGCCGGCAATGAAAAAGTTTGGCCCTGGTGACCCTTACCGGGCCTCGGGTCCGTCAAACAACGACTCAGGATGAGAAACCGATCCTGGGGAATGTGGCGAAAACTCAGGCGACCGACGTAATGAAAACAACATGGGGTCGGGGGTCTGGGAACGACCGGCGTGTGTAGGTATGGGTGAGAGTTGTCGGACCCCGAGGGGGGCTCGCTTTTCGAGCGGGAGCCCCCATCCGACCACACACCACACACACACACACCTGTAGCCCCCCCCCAGAATTCCACCCCAGGAGCTCTGGGGATCTCATGGGTAGGGGTGCTAGTCGTCAACTCATGACTGAGGTCCGGGCCGGCGACGCAACTGTTTCGCGCCGTAAGCATTTGCACGCACTTTCGGGCCCCGGGGCCCTCGCAAATCGATCCGGCTCGAGGCATGCCGCAGAAATATCGAGGATCTTCTGACCTGGGTCAATCCAGACCTAGGTCAGTCAGGCCTTGCAGAATCCTGCAAGATCCTGCAAGATCCTGCACCCAAGCCTGGGTCAATACGAAGGACCCTGCAAGATCCTGCAGGATCCTGCACCCAAACCCAAGTCAATGCGACCCTGGCCCTGCAGGATCCGTCAAGGTCGGGCGCTCTGGCTGACCCCCGTTTGCATTGACCCCCCTCTCAAGGCTCCCGAAAAAATTGAGTGTGGAGGGCTCCGGTGGTGGCCTTCCACGATAACGCTGCATCCTCGTTCGCGACGTCGGATATCAGGACACTCGCGCCGTGAACGTCAGCACGGCAAACTGCTGTGCTCCCCCCGCTCTCGACCAAGGCCCCCCAAGCCCAGGGATCCGACGTCGTGATCTTTTCCATGCGCGGTCCCCGGAAGCCTCGACCCCTCCCCCCGGGGCCGGTTTTTCGTCCTGAGTTGTTTTTTCACGGTCCCGAGGCCCGGCGAGGGCCCTCCGTCTTGGTTTTTTCAACACGTTGGATCTCTGGGAACCTGGGAACACGCCAGACCAAGACATCCAGCAGCCCTCGAGGACCGAGCTCCCCAGACGGAGCTGCACGGGAACCCCCCCCCGGGATAGGAGCACCCGACGCAGAGGCCCGTGGAGCCTGCAGCCCACCCCCCCAGGAGGCCCAGACACAGGCTCGAATCCTGCAGCGCAGCCCCAACGAATATCACGGGGCCACAGAACCCACACGAGGAAATACACATAAGCATATTTTCCCATAGTTGGGGCGTTCTCGTCTTTCCCCCACTTTCCATATTTTCCCATATTTTCAATGGGATCAGCAATCAATTGTGTCTGTGTTTTTTCCCTCCTGAAAATACGCTGGTCGACCAGATCGACCAGATGCACTTTTTTTACCAACGCGAGAGGAGCCCAGTGGCAAAGAGCGAGGACGACACGACCGACAGACGAGCGACGGACGACAGACGAGGACGACGGAGGGCGCGGGGGGGCGGGAGGGGGGGGGAGGGGGGGGAGGGGGCCGGCGCGCGCGCGCCCACCGCGCGCGCGCGGGCAGCCGCCCGCTGGGGCCCGCGCAGCCCTCAGCCGGCAGCGCGGCGGCGCCTCAGCCGGAGCGAGTCGCCTGCAGCGCGAGCGCAGCGCTCAGCGCCCGGCCCCGGGCGGCGGCGCGCCCGCGCCGGCCGGCACCGCGAGGGCCCCCGGCAGGGCCCGGCCCACCTCGAGGATGGGCCCGTGGGCGGTGGGGTCGCCCGCCGCCGCCGCCTCCAGCAGCAGTGCCGCCTCGAGCGCCGCGCTGGCGCCCTCGCCTGCGACGGCCCGCAGTGCGGCCGCCAGCTGGCTGAGCGCCGCGGCCCCCGGCGCCGGGGCCGGCTGCTTCGGCCCGCCGGGGGCCGGGAGCCAGCAGCCAGCCCGCCTCCTGGCCGGGGCCCTCCTCGGCCGCGTCCGCCCACGGCGCGCGCCGGGGGATGCGCGGCCGCGCCCGCGGCGGTGTCTCCACCGCTAGGCCGCCGGCCGTGGCGCCCCGCGGAGTGGACGCAGGCGGGGGCGCCGCGCTGCCAGCCGCCAGGGCAGCGCCGCCTGCGGTGGGGTGCGCGGGCGCCCAGTCGCCCTCGTACTCCGCCTCGATGCCGTGTTCGAGGGCATCGAGCGGCACGAGCAAGACGTCCCCGCGCTCCGTCGCCCCGCCGGAGCCGGTCCCCGTCGCCCCCCTTCCTAGGGGGCCGGCGCCTGTCGCTCCTCTGGCGAGGCCGGTGCTGCCGCTTACCGTCGCCCCTCCTGCGGGGCCGGTCTCCATCGCCCCGCCGCCCGAGGGGCCGGTGCCTGTCGCCCCGCCTCCCAGGGGGCCGGCGTCCGTAGCTCCTCTGGCGGGGCCGGTGCTGCCGTTTTCCGTCGCCCCGCCTGCGGGGCCGGTCTCCGACGCCCCGCCGCCCGCGGGGCCGGTGCCCAGCGCCCCTCCCGCAGGGCTGGCGCGGGCGCCTAGGCCCCCCCCCTGGGGCAGGAGGAGGCCCGCCTTCTTTGCCTCCCCGAGGACGCCCGCCGCGACCTCCGGGGTCTGGAAACTCCAGCCGTGCGCCCTGAGGACCTCCGCCGCGGCGGCCGCCACTGCCGCAGGCGGGGGGCCCGGGCCCGGGGTCGCTCCACCAGGCCGAGTGGGTGCGGGGGCGGCCGCCTCGGCGCCCCCTCCGTCGCCGCCTGCTTCTGGCGGAGCCGGCGCTCTCGGAGCCGCTCGCCGCGCCGAGCTGCCGCTCCCGCTGCTGCCCGAGCTCGAGCTGCTCGAGCTGGCGCTGTCGCTCGAGCCGGCGCTGCGAGGGCGGTGGTCCCGGCCCCTGCCCCGGCCGCCGCGGCTCGCGCGCTGGCTCCCCGTGGGGGGGGTGGCGCCGACCCCCCCCAGGGTCGCCGCTGCCGGCCCCGCCGGTCCCGCCTCCTCGGGCGCTACCTCCGGCGCTGGCGGGCTCGCCGCCGCGCTCGCCGCGCTCGCCGCCGCGGGCGCCAGCGGGCCGTCGCCGCTCGCCGGCGCGCTCGCCGCTCCGGGCGCCCTGGAGCCTCGCCTGCGGCGGCCGCTGCGCGGGCGTCGCGGCGCGGCCGGGCTGCGCGGCCGGCGGCGCCGCCTGCGGCTCCGGCTGCGCGTGCGGCTCCTGGCGCGGCGGTGGCCGGAGCCGCTCCTGCCCCGGCGCTTGCGGTGCCGACGCAAGCCCGAGCGGTGCCCAGTAGCCTCCCGTGCCGAAGGCGCCGAGCGCTCCAGCCTCGCCGGTGCGAGCGCGCTGGGGCTGCGCACGCGCTCGCGCCATCGCCCGGCGGTGGGGCTGCCGCCAGCCTCCCTCTCCCGAGGAGTCGCCGCTGCTGCTGTCAGCTGCGCCCTCTTGGGAGTCGTCGGGGCCCGAGCTCCCGCCCGCTCCGTCGTCGGCGTCGGAGCCCCCGGTGGCGCTCGCTGCGGGGGCGCTCTTGCCTCCGGCTGCGGCTGGCCAGCCCGCCCCGGCCGCGCTGCCGGCGGGCGGCCACCCGGCCGTGCCGCCGGCCTGGCCTTCGGCGGGGCGCCGCTCCCCTCCGCCTCGGCCCGCCGGCCCCGCGCCCCCGTCGCCCGGGGCGCCGGCGGGGAGCTGCGCCAGGACGGCCCCTCCGGCGCCGCCGAGGAGTGCGCCTGCTGGGCGCGGCGCACCGGGAGCGGCGGGCGCGCCCGCTGCGGCGCCGCCGTCGGCCTCGCTGCTGGGCCCGGTGCCTGGTGCCAGGGGCACCTGGCCGCCTCCTCCGGGTCCAGGGTGCTGCCAGCAGCCCGGCGCTGGAGGGACTGGCACGGCGAGCCAGCCCCAGCTCCAGCCTGGCGGGGGGTCGGCGTGGCACTGCATGCCTCGCCCCGGCCGCGCCCCCAGCGGCCGCGCTTCCCCATGGAGCGCCGGCGCGCGCGCCGGGCCGCTAGGGCCGGCCGCCCGGCCAGCCCCTCGAGCCCACGGCTGCCTCAAGCTCCAAACCCCCGAAGGGGGTTGCAGCTTGAGCCATTTGGTCGACCAGATACACTGGTCGACCAAATCTGACCTTGCAGGGAGGGGTGTCCAAAAGAAGAGAGAAAACGCCATAAACATGCACTTTCGGCGCTCCGCGCGGAGCGCCAGAAGCTTATGTTTGCGGCAGGCTCGCGTCGTGTCGACAGCGGTGTTGGTTCCTGACACCGCTGGGATCGCTCAAACTTGAACGATCGGCCGTTCTGTGACCGCCGCATCGTTCAACGACGGGCCGGTTCTGGGCCACGGGCGACGTGTAACCTTGAACGCACGCGGTGGGGTCGCCGCCTATCGGCAAGGCGCGATCCTGCTGGGTGGTGGAGGCCTGGAAATGGGCGCCAACACCAACACAGGGGGTTGCCTCCACAGGGGGAAGATGATCCTAGATTTCGGTGTTGGTGGTAATGTGTCGGTCACCTTGGCAGCCAGAGTATTACCACCATCACCGAGATCGGGATCTTCTTCCCTCGGTGGAGGCGCACTGCCGATCTTGGTGTTGGTGTCAACCTCTAGGCCTGCGAGTGTGGCGTTTTGTTCTTCTTCGAGTGCCGTTGCCCCGACTTGCCCAGTGCCCTGGGTCGTCCTTCTGCCCGGGGTGTCTGCCTCGACCTCATCATGGGGCGTGCTCGCCGGGCACAGGGCCGTGCACAGAGAGAGAAGGGCTCGGGCGAGAGAGCCAGCTCCCCCGTGCGAAGGGGTCCCGGGTGGTGAGAATCACGGTGCCGAAGCTTGGCGGCGCGCACCAGGGGGTAGGGGGAGGGGGGAAGGCTTCTTCGAAGGAGGCTGCTGCTTAGACGGCACCGGCCTTACATCTGTTGAGAAGGTCCGCCTCTTCTAAGCAGGGGTGCTTCTACGAAGCCTTGCCCCCTCCCCCTACCCCTCTCTGCGCGTGGCCGAGAGTTTGGATGGGCATACAGTGAGGATCGGATTGGTTCGGAGTGCGTTGCAGAATTTCCAGAGTACCCAGCGGCCCTCGTTGCTGCAAGCCCTGCGAAAAAGACCAGGAGCCTGAGAGATCCTGGACATCTTGGAACCCAGACCCCCGACGTAATGATTTT